AGGAGCTTTATCAGGTCTCCAACATGGATGCAGGGACCCAAGCACTTAAGCCATGTTCTACTGCTTTCCCAGGCCATGAGCAGAGAGCTGAATTGGAAGAGGAGCTGCCAGGACACGAACCAGCGCCAATATGGGAAGCTGGCACTGCAGGTGGAGGTTTAACCTACTATGCCACAGCACCACCCCTGTTTGTTTTTATTTATATTTATTTAAAGTATGGGTTTTTTTTTTTAAAATTTATTTATTTATTTGAAAGGCAGAGGCAAAGGCAGAGAGAGAGAAGTCTTCCATCTGCTGGCTCAATCCCCAAATGGCCACAACAGCCAGAGGTCAGCTGATCCGAAGCCAGGAGCCAGGAGCTTCCTCCAGGTCTCCCATACGGGGCACTTGGACCATTTTGTACTGCTTTCCCAGGCCATAGCAGAGAGCTGGTTTGGAAGTAGAGCAGCCGGGTCTTGAATGCCCATATGGGATGCTGGCACTGCAGGCAGTGGCTTTACCCACTACACCACAGCACTGGCCCTAAAGTATGTTTGTTTTTTTTTTTTTTTTTTTTTTTTTTTTTTTTTTGAGTGGACAGTGAGAGAGAGAGACAGAGAGAAAGGTCTTCCTTTGCCGTTGGTTCACCCTCCAATGGCCGCCACGGCCGGCGCGCTGCAGCCGGCGCACCGCACTGATCCGATGGCAGGAGCCAGGTACTTATCCTGGTCTCCCATGGGGTGCAGGGCCCAAGTACTTGGGCCATCCTCCACTGCACTCCCTGGCCACAGCAGAGAGCTGGCCTGGAAGAGAGGCAACCGGGACAGAATCCGGTGCCCCGACCGGGACTAGAACCCGGTGTGCCGGCGCTGCAAGGTGGAGGATTAGCCTAGTGAGCCGCGGCGCCGGCCCTAAAGTATGTTTTAAAATGTGCAATGTTACCACACTATAAAATACAAAAATGAAAGTTCTCTCTTCTAATAGATCCCCTTCTAGCAACCAAAGCCCATCTAACATTTTGGGGAGGAAACGAGTATTAATAGTTTGCAATAATCATAAACAATGTATACATATACATACACACATTTTTTAACATTTTTTTTATTTGAAAGGCAGATGAAAGAGAGAAATCTCCCACCTGCTGGTTTGAGCCTTTAAATGCCCTCAACCTTCAGGGCTGAGCCAGACCAAAGCCAGGAGCCTGGAACTTAATCTGGGTCTCCTATATGGGTGGCAGGAACTAAGGTACTTAGGTCATCATCTGCTGTCTTCCATGGTATGCATTAGCAGGGAGCTGGAATTGGGAGTGGATATGGGACTTGAACCCAGGCACTCTGATAAGGTATGCGGGTGTCCCAAGCAATGTTTTAACTACCACTCCAAATGCCCATCCCTCCACACAAACATTTTTAAAAGGAATTTTATTCCAAATTAGAGTATAATTAAGCCAAAAATGATTTTTTGAAATAAAATAGTTCTTGAAAATAAAATGAGTATATTATATAGAAGTTATTAAATGTGACAAAAATCTATTAAAAACAAGCAAAAGCAATATTATAATTGCTCTGATGTCCCCTCCCTTTCCCTTTTTTCCCCACCCTTTATCTAGTAATCCAACCTGCAACAGGCACAGGCAATTTTTGATTAAGACAGGTTTTTTTTTCCTCCACAACTGCTACTTTGATCAAGACCCCTAATTTCTCTAAGAAAATTTCTGAAAATAAAGGCATCCAACAGATATATATTTCAATTCAAGTCACTTTTTCACTTGTGTGTAAAGCCTTCACAATTCTATGGAAAAACAGATTTCAAAACCAAACACTTTTTTTTTTTTTTTTTTTTTGAGAAAGGCAGATAGGCTGTTATATAAACTGTTGGAGAGCTGAGAGCATCGCAAGCAGGTGCTCAATAAATAATTGGTGAGATGAATAAAAGAGATTTCAATAGACTCATTTGGTGTCACAGCTAAATGAGGGCTAAATTTCTCACTCTCATTCTGTATCTTTCATATTTTCTGGTCCCTTCTTTCCCTCCCCCCATTTATTATTTCTTTTTCCTCATTCTTTTATCTTTTCCCTTTTTAGGGTTCATTTTACTATTACCTCACTATTCCAATCCCTACCCCAGCTCTTTTCTCTCTCTCTCTCTCTCTCTCTCTCTCTCTCTCTCTCTCCCTCTTTCTCTCTCTCAAATTTCTTGTTTCACACCAGAGGAATAGAAATAGAAAGTTCAGGGGTCGATGCTGTGGTGCAGGGGGTTAAAGCCCCAGCCTGCAGTGCCGGCATCCCATATGGGCGCCGGTTCAAGTCTCAGCTGCTCCACTTCCAATCTAGCTCCCTGCCAATGTTCCTGGGAAAGCAGTAGAGGATGACCCAAGTCCTTGGGCCCCTGCACCCGCATGGGAGACCCAGAAGAAACTCCTGACTCCTGGCTTCAGATCAGATCAGCTCTGGCTGTTGGCCATCTGGGGAGTGAACCAATGGATGAAGACCTGTGTGTGTGTGTGTGTGTGTGTGTGTCTACTTCTCTCTGTAACATTTCAAATAAAATAAATTTTTAAAAAAACAGAAAGCTCAGAGGAGAGGGGTCAGGTTTGCTGACCTGGCTTGGCAAGAGAGATTAATATATTTGTAAGATTCAGAGAGACAAAAGGACAAATCCGGGCTAAGGAAGGAGACAGAGGCACAAGAAGATGAGAGAGGTTGGAAGAGGTGCATTGGGAACTATATCAGGCACTGGAGAGACCGTGAGGAGAGAATCTTGGCTTGTGAAGCATGCATGAGAGTTGGCTGTGGGAAGTCAGTAAACAGCATGACAGCAAAGAAAAGGAGGCAGGAAACAAGGGGACATGATACAGAGGAAGGAATAGTTGAACCGACTCTGCCAGCAGGTATGGAGCTGTGGCAGAACAAGGTTTACTAGGTATCAGCTGGGGGTGGAGGGCAGCAGGTAAAGCAGCCACCTGCAGTGCTGGCATCCCATATGGGAGCACTGGTTCGAGTCCCGGGTGCTCCACTCCTGATCCTATGCTATGGCCTGGGAAAGCAGTGGAAGATGGCCCAAGTGCTTGGGCCCCTGCACCCATGTGGGAAACCTGGAAGCTCTTGGCTGCTGGCTTCAGATTGGCCAAGCTTCCAGTCACTATGGCCAACTGGGAAGTGAACCAGTGGATGGAAGACTTCTCTCTCTCTCTCTCTCTCTCTCTCTCGCTGCCTTTCTAAAAGTCTTTCAAATAAATAAATCTTTAAAAAAAATTGTTAAGGGTCCTCAACTCTATGCATGGTAGGATGGAATTTACCCTTGGAGTATGGCTCGTTATCAGTTTCCCATAATAAGAGTGGTATTCTAGAAAGATCATTCTGAGACCAGAATGGACTACACATGGTAGGGATAGAGGTCATGAAGCCAGTTAGTGGTTACTGCTAGGCACAGGGTGATGAGGATGTGATCAGAGAATGTAGAATTGGGAGCATATAAGTAGAGCGAGAAAAGGGGCCTGAATGACAGTCTGGGAGGAAGACTTACAGAACTTGACAACGAATTGGATGCAGAAGTGTGGGAATGTTGGTGGACATCCTCTTGCTCCTGGATATGTTGGCATGTCAAGAATGCAAGGCCCTGGACACTGTCTACTTGGGTCATTCCTCCAGGTTGCATTTGAGGAGAGCAACTTTGATGAATGAGATAATGTCTCCCCTGCAGCCAACAGCAGGCTTGCTTACTGCTTACTACAAAAGCAGTGGAGCATTGGGTATGGTGGTACAGGGGGCTAAGCCGCTATTGGGATGCCAGCATCCCATATCAGAGTGCCTGGGATTGAGTCCCATGTATGCTTTCTGATCTACTCTTGTCAACGAGCCTGGGAGGCAGCAAATGATGGCTCAAGTACTAGGGTCGCTGCCACCAATGTGGGAGATCCAGATGGAATTCCTGGCTCCTGGCTTTGGTCTGGTCCAGCCCTGGCTATTGCAGGCATTGGGGGTCGGGGAGGTGGGGGGTGAGCACTTGTATAGGAGATCTCTCTCTCTGTCTCTCCTTCTGTCACTTGACCTTTCAAAAAAAAATAAGTCTTTCATAGAAGTTATCTGGGTCTCTTATGGGTCAAGGTGGGCAAGGAAAACCTATGTGAGCAATGCTCATGCTTCTTGTAGTGCTGTGAGTTCTTTGTCTTTGGACCGAGAATCTTGTGTCTTTTACTGCGAAACAGTATTGTCTTCTCTTCAAGTAATAGGTTAACCTATCAGCTTATAAACAGGAGGAAATCAAATCCCAGACCAGATAGGGAGAATGAAGATTTTTGACTTAGTGTAAGGTGGTGCCTTTCACCAAGGGGAGGAACTGGTGTAGGCGAGCGAGGAAAGAACTGGTGTGTAGGTCATCTTTACACATACTGATTAGATTTTACTGCCAACTAGCACACAGGATTCAGAGTAAGAGCCTGCAGACCTGTTGCAAGTCTAAATCCTGCCCTTCACTTTTCCTGCTTAATAAAAACCTGCAGCGTCAATCCCACACCCCAGCAACCCACTGCAATCCTTTGGTGTGTTCTGCTAGTGCCTCCCCAGAATGCCGGTGGAAATAAACTGCTCAGTAGAACCTGAATACTGTGGGTAATTAGCTGAGATTTATTCATGTTATGTATTTGATTAAATGTGCAGCATTGCCCAGTGACCTTAACTCTAGCGAGAAAAACCTGCTTTCTGAGAAATCCTTGCAGACCACCTTCCTCCTCGCTCAGTCCTGATGGTTCCAGAGAACCAGCGATGGAAAGAAAAAAGCAACAGGGGTGATAAAGAGGGTTGGTGAGAGTGGAGAAATGAACAAATCTGAGATATTTTCTTATTAGGCAGGGTCGCCAGCCTTGCCCCCACAGCAAGGGCTCACTAAAAGATTTCAAATAAATCTTTCATTTTGTCTGTTTTCATCCATTACACAATCTCAAACAATTTCTGTTCACATTTTGATAAACAAAATTTTAACATTCTTTTCTTTAAGGCATGGATCCAACTGATAAAACTTACCTGGTCATTCAAAAGCTGATGGTTCAGGGGTGTCCAAGTACTCATCTTTGTTTGCATTTTGGAGCCCTCTATGCTTTTTAGAGGTGCTAATGCCATCATGAAATAACCAGGTATTCTTTCATAAGAAAGACTGTACCTATCAGAAGAAATGAATGATATAATTTTTAGAATATTAAAAATACTAATACATATTTTTAGCATTTTGGGAGAAGGAATGAGGGGAAGAACATTTATTGCAGGTACCTTTGTGTCAATAACTTACATACATGCTCAATAAAAAGTCTCAGTGAACTGGAGAGGTGGTGGTTTTAGCTCATTTTATGGATGGAGAAAATGGAGTTGACTGCTGTTACACCCTCTGCCCAGGGATATAGAGAGAGCAAGTGTCAGAACTGGGAATCAGCCCATGTCAGTTTAACTCCACTTTCACTGGAGCATGGGGGGAAGTCTAGAATAAGCCCAGCTAAATGTACCATATTGACCAGAAAGAGAAATAGTTTAGATTTTAAAATCACTGTACAATATGATTCTTTGTTCTTATACCTTGTGATATTAATAATATGGCCCCTCCCTTCGTAACCTTCCAACATGTAAATAAAGAATTCCAGCCCCATACCATACTTAGGAAGTAGAATGATGTGATGAACAAATTTAAGGCTTTAGATGGAAAATTTGAATTTGTTGAGGGAAATTTGCTGTTTTTAGTTGTCTAGTATGCAGTCCTCCTGTTGATGAAAGCACTTTTTTAAAAAAATTTAGATTAAAATATTTATTACAAGCAGATTTCCTTTTCCCATACTGGAAAAAAAAAAAAAAACATGACTGGAAACCGTCAGAGAACAGAAATTGGGTTAAATCTATTCCTGAGCCCATTATCAAATTACCAATGAAGGAAAAGATATATTATAATTTAAAATTAGGGAAGCCTACACACAATTTAGAAGACTGGGAAGAAAAAAGACTACCCAAGTCAAAAGGATCCTTAACATCTTACAGTCCTTTTTTTCTTTTCTTTTCTTTCTTTCTTTCTTTCTTTTTTTTTTTTTTTTTTTTGACAGGCAGAGTCAGACAGTGAAAGAGAAAAACAGAGAGAAACATCTTCTTTCTGTTGGTTCACCCCTCAATGGCCACTATGGCCAGCACACTGTGCTGATCTGAAGCCAGGAGCCAGGTGCTTCCTCCTGGTCTCCCGTGTGGGTGCAGGGCCCAAGCACTTGGGCCATCCTCCACTGCCTTTCCAGGCCACAGCAGAGAGCTGGCCTGGAAGAGGAGCAACCGGGACAGAATCCGGCGCCCCAACTGGGACTAGAACCCGGGGTGCCAGCGCCACAGGCGGAGGATTAGCCTAGTGAGCCGCGGTGCCAGCCATATCTTACAGTCTTAAGCACATAAATCTGTATACTTAACATATTTCTCCATGAAATTTTGTGAAATCAGATGGCAGTGAATAATTTACAAATCTTTTGTCTTTCTTCTGATCACTTACACCCTTTTGCACAGTTCTTGAAGTCATCATAATCCCACCTTCTTTTAACTTTGAAGTTGGCCTGAGGCTGGGATGGGCCAGTAAGATTAACCTCCACTAGGAAGGTTCCCCATGCAAATCCTCTCTTCTTCAGTTTTTGTTCTTGTTTCTTCCTGGCCTGCACTTCAGTTCTTTTACAATTTTTTTTCCAGTTCTGCAAGAAGAGCTGCAGTGTCATAACCATCATCGTCTTCAAAATCTCCATCTTCCTCATCTGTTATAGGATCATTTCCATAGAGGTTGGCAACAGGAATCTGGTCTAGCCAAGGCTTCTTTGCCACTTAAGAGAAGGTTGTATGTTCTCGGGTTGCATGGTCCCTATTTTTCTCGCTTGCAGCAGCTCTTTCTCCCTCTTACAACTCTTTCCTGAAGACACTACTACAAACCTCTGGAGGACACCCTGAGTAGTAAGTAGGTCTGTATTTTATCTTTGTATGATAAGGAAGGTCTCTGCTTGAACACTGCTTTGAGAGCTGCCTCAAGTCATCTTCTTCTCTTCTCCCACCTCCTGCAGGTTCAAACCTTGTTGTCTGCTGTTATCTTTTATGGTTGCTCAAGGTCTGACGCTGCATCTTCTGAAAGTCATAGAGATGCCATGGCGATTCTTGATGAAACTGCTTTATTTCTCATGAGAAATTACTTCTCCCTCATTGGTTCATCAAGATGGCCTCCCTTTCCCTAGCCAAGAGGTGGTCATGAGACCAAGTGAGGTTACTTGGACTGACCATGGCTTATCCTTACTTTACAGATAAGATAATCAAAGTAGCATTTGTGCCTCCAAGAAGTCTCCACTGTTCCTGCTACATCATCCCTTAGACACATCTTTTCTTGTCCAAAATGGACAGCTAATTATCTTTGTCATCACATGTTTAGCTCAGTTACAAAGGACTTTGTTTCATCAAAAGTCTTCTTCATCACCACAAGAAATTGTTTCATCACAGTATTCTCAGTTGGTAGCTCATGACAAAAGTAGATGTGAGCAGGCATATTACAGATAGAAAGCATTGTCAGGGAGTCTAGATGAGCCCAGGTAAAAACTATATATATAACTATATGTATATATATTGTTGTTGTTGTTGTTTACTTTTAAGTTTTTCCTTTCTCCTCTTTTAGCCAACTGTTTTTAATCCTTATTTGGAGGTCATAAATCTCATTGAGAATATGATGAAAGCTATGAATCCTCTCCCTAGAAAAATGCTCAAGAACATAAAATTTTGCTTACCATAGAGTAAATGCCCCTGCTCTAAGCTGAGAAAGTCTCTCTCTAGTCCCAGGTTGTGCCGGAAGTGGTCTGACTCATTCCAGGTGCAATTTCTGAATTGGGACAAGGTGGCTTTTCTAGATGATGCCCTAAAAGCGTGCACTGGTTGCTTTCTTTTTTCTTGGTTCCTCTGAGCTAGAAATCACTTGGATTAAGCTTTTTTCCTCAGAATCAATTTGATGAAGGTGTAGCTTTCAAGAGGTAGGCCAAGCCACCAAAAGCAGCCCTCTTGGTGACAGGGTGCTGCAGAGGCAGGCCAGTGAGACTGCTACATGATCTCCTGTTAATTATCCTTTCACAATTTATTCCTTCTCTCTCCATTCCAGAAGGTAGGCAGTGTGTATACTCACATACACAACACACGTTCACAGTATAGACCACTTACTACTATTAAAAAGAAATAACTTTCATATAACATATACAAAAAATAATTGTCCCCCTTCTGTTAACAAGACAAACCAAGTGATCTTCCATTCCTTCCACAGATAAGTCGTCTTGATGCTTTTCATGACTTCTTTTCTTTGGAATGACTGCCCTTGAATACCCATCATTGATTTTTATTGGGATAAAATAGACAGAAAGCCTATGTCCCTAGTCCCCAAGGTATGGTACTAGTTCCAAGTTCAACAGCAAGGGTGAGTCCTCTGGCAAAATTCTGGTGTTCACACACTTCCAACCTCATCTTCTAAGCCATTCTTCACGCTATCACCATTGTTCCACAACGTTATTAAGGACCTACAGGGCCTGTGTTAGGGGTACAGAGTCTTTACTGGAGTTCAGAGTCTACTGTTAGGGATTTTTTAAGACAAAATGATTATGTTATTTTTCAGCTCAAAAGCCTCTGATGGGTACAGAATCCAGACTCCTTAGTGTGGAAGTCTACGTTCACTTTGATTTTTATCACTGCCTGCTTTTTCAGCCTCATCCCCGACTCTCCCTTCACTCAGCCCAGAAACACTGAATTCCTGGCCACTCCAAGAATATGGCACAAAACTCTTTGCTCAGGTGGCTTTCTGATGCTCACTTGAATCCTAATCACAGTGGTACATAATCGATACTCAATAAATATTTGTGAAATGAATGAGAGCAATGACTACAACACTGGAGAGGGAAGAAGTTTAAGAATTAAAACTGGGGGGCCGGCACCATGGCGCAGTAGGTTAATCCTCCACCTGTGGTGCTGGCATCCCATATGGGCGCCGGTTCTGGTCCCGGCTGCTCCTCTTCCAGTCCAGCTCTCTGCTATGGCCTGGGAAAGCAGTGGAAGATGGCCCAGGTCCTTGGGCCCCTGCACCCACGTGGAAGACTGGAAAGAGGCTCCTGGCTCCTAGCTTCATATCGGCGTAGCTCTGGCCATTTTGGGGGTGAACCAACAGAGGAAGGACCTTTCTTTGTCTCTCTCTCTGTCTGTAACTCTACCTCTCAAATAAATAAATAAATAAATAAAAATTAAAACTGGTAGACATGTATAGTGAAACTCAGAACATTGTGAATTATCAGATTTTTATTTGGAGTTTACAGAACAGAATAGGATTTAGTTTCTCTGCTAACACACAGTCCACTCACTGTACACAGTAATGTCATCAGACAAGGGTATCTCAAATATTACCAGGAAATTATCAGGAAATGGGATTATAGGTAGGTTTAACTACAAACTCATCTTATATCCCACTAGTCAAAAACAAACAAGAACTATAATATAATGCAAATAACTTGTGCTTGATAGATATGCACATAATTATTTGTTGGTTTTTAATTTCACAAGTACGAAGCATTTCACACTTGAACTGCAGCTGAAATGAGAGAACAAAATACCAATACCAGTGACAAGGCTTGTGGGAGGCCCAGGAGCTCGCCAAATACAATCTCCATCTTTTTCATGCACTGCTTACTGCTCTCACCTCTTTCAGCTCGTCTTCCTCTTCAAGCCTCTGGTGCTGCTGTTGCCATAGTTGCACTAGGTCAGCTTTCTCTTTGACTCCTTCCAGACCCCTCCCAGCTTCCAGGAGTCCAATCACTATTTGTAAATTCTGTCGCTGCTATCCAGAGTCTCTTAGGCGACAGTGTGTGGTCTCCTGATTGGCCAGGAGATCCAGGAGGGCTGGCTCCAAATTAGGCACACGATAAAATTAAGAAGCGTGGGCGCCAACAGTGTGAGAGGGACTGCAGGATCAGACGTAATGCTAGGATGACTATGTATCCAATCCTAAAAGCGAGCAGCGTTGCAAACCTTCATTCGATCCATCCTTGTGTTCCAAATCGGCCCGTACCTACTGAGCATGCCCAGTTATCTTGTTCTGGTCACTCCGGAGCTCCGAAATGCAGACTCCACTTCGCCAGGTATTAGGAATGGCCAACAGGTAAAAGGGTTGGAGGATTCAGAATTCACGACTGGGTTCACCGAAAGAATAGCACCTGCAACAGGAAGTGGAAGGATGTTGGGAAATTGCCCAACACAAACACAAATGCTTCACCGGGAATTTCAATGTCTTGGTTCATGAATCAGGCTGATAGATAATACCAGGGAACCAGCAGATGGCATGCCCTATTAAGAATCATTCTAAATTTGGGAATGCTTTAAATCCAGTCTAATTAATGAACGGCATTGAATGCCCAGCTGGTAATAAAGAGCAGAGTGAGCATACAAGAAAGAAAAAGTCCAATGAGAAAAACTGGAAAATGCAAGGATAATTAATTACCGGAAAGCTCACCGTCCTGACAGCTGTGAGAAAACTACAAACAGGTGCTGGAGTATGCCAACAGTTCAAAATTCCACAACACAACTTCTTAGTTGCTTGGTCCATGTAAAGCAATTCTTATGGGCACCAGTTAAGAAAACAGCAATCAAAAAAAAAAAAAAAAAAAAAAAAAAAAAAAAAAAAAAAGAAAAAAAAAGAAAAAAAAGAAAGAAAAAGACTTGAACAAATGTACAAACCCTGTGTTTGTTTTCTGTCACTTGGTTTTCAAATAGGAAGCATCTGAGTTTCTCACATTTGAAAAAGAAAAGAGGTTGCTGCTTTCCTTAACAAAGGATCAGTGAGTGGCCAAACTGAAATTAGAACTTAGGTTGTCTTGAATTTCAGCCTAGTGGTTTTTCCACGTGACCAGGTAATATGTAAATGAATCAACAATGCCTTTGGGGCTTGAGGGGGTGGCCTGGGGTATACAGATGTAATACTAAATTACCATGCATTACCAGTTAACATTTATGGTTTCAAAACGGGTTCATCCAGAAAAGGGCCGGTTTTCACCTTGTCGGGAGTGCAGTGCTTTCTGTGAAGTTCGAGCTCATTAAATCCTTCTATTGGTGGTTACATCCTGGAAGGAGAGAGAGATGGGATCATAGAGGGGATCTCACTTATGCTTATTGGACTTGAATATTTTTATCCCCGAAAAGAAGGTCCCTTCTGTCTCTGCTCCTTCTGCACCTCCTCTCATCTTGCACCTCTGACTGCTGTTCCCACCAGGGAGTGTCACGCCGTTCCCACTGTGTTTAGTGAGCACATTTACACAGCCCAGAGGCTGTGATACTTCCACATTACTATCTCTGCATGTATATGAGTAATGACAGGCAGAGTGGACAGTGAGAGAGAGAGACAGAGAGAAAGGTCTTCCTTTTGCCGTAGGTTCACCCTCCAATGGCCGCCGGGGCCATCCTCCACTGCACTCCCTGGCCACAGCAGAGAGCTGGCCTGGAAGAGGGGCAACTGGGACAGAATCCGGCGCCCCAACCGGGACTAGAACCCGGTGTGCCGGCGCCGAAAGGAGGAGGATTAGCCTAGTGAGCCGCGGCGCCGGCCTAAAAATCTTATAAAATACCCATAATGCAGAATTTATCATCTTAACTTTTCGTTTTGTTTTTCCTTCTAGCGGGCCGGCTCCGGGTTGTAACCATTTTCACTAAGTGTGCAATTCAGTAGTATTAAGTACGTTCACAATGTTGCATTACTTTAAGCCCTGTGTGCTACCCACGAGAGAAAGGACAGTTAAAACGGGGCAGTAAAAAGAAAAACAGCCGTGACTTTGAATGAATCCAGACTGCCCTTTAAAACTCGGCGTGGCGTGGGGCAAGTCAAACAACCTTTCTTGGCATGCTTTTCTCCTCGTCTGAAAAATGAGACGTTCGATTTAGATGATCTCTAAGGATTCTTTCAGCTTTCCGATAGTTCCCATATGTGTATGTGTGTGTGTCAAGGGAGAGACAGGGAGACATTTCCTAAGGCGCCAAAGATGGAGCAGGCCCCCAGGAACCACAAGCCCCACCTGCTCCCTGAGGTTCTGAGGATGTAAACTACTGCTGGGCGAGCCTCTCGCTCCCGGCTGCTCTGCAACACGCCAGAGCGCGGGCCTCCACCTGCCTGAAGCTCACCCTCAGCCCCGGAGCCTGCCCCAGACCACTCCCCACCCCCGGGGTCCTGGGATCAGCACGCGAGGCCTCAGACCAGACTTCTCGGTGGTCTTTCAAGAACAGCCTCCCAGGCTGCCGTGACTGTCTGTCGCTGCGCTGTTGCAGCAGAGGAAGGAGTGCTTTGCAAGAATGGTTGAGTGCATTTCGGACGAACGCCTGTAGAAACGGGAACGACCACGCAGGTGCCTGGCAGCTCAAGGCGTCGTCACCCACGGCGCGAGGAAGCCAACAACGAAGCGCGCTGGGCGGACACCGAACAGCCAGGCTCAAAATGGGAGCGCCGGCCCCCAGTGTGCGCTGTGCGCCTGCGCCGTGCGTGCGCGCGCACTCGCGCACTCGCTCCCCGAGCCGCGCACCCTGGCGCTCGCGAAAGCTCGCGGTCGCGTTGCTCCTAAGCGCGCGCAAGCGGTCCTCGGCCGCTCCGGGTACCTAAGGGACGCGCGGCCGGCGGCGGCCGGCGCTGCATCCCCCCACCTTGGAGCGGGGCGCCGAGGTCTGAGGTGAGCTCTGACGCGTGCGTTCCCCCGGACCGGCTGGGCGGGAAAGGAAGCGGTGAGTGTGGAGAATGAACCGCCGCCGCCGCGGCTGCCTGCCGCTTCGCCTAACCCTGCGCGGGGGAGCCGCCGCCAGCGGCGGAGGCAGTAGGCACCTCCTCCTCAGGGATCGTTCTTTTCGTCGCGGCCAAAACAAAAGCCTTGGGCGCTGGGCTGTGGCGGGTGTCTGAGGGGCTTCTCGGGAGCGGGCCCGGGCCCCAGGTGGGGGGCTTCGGGGGTCGGGGCCGCCGAGTTTGGGGCTGGGAGCTAAGGTGGGGAGGTGCCCTGGGAGACGGTTAACCCCGTCGGTCCTGAGCCTGCGCTGGGCAACCTGTGCGAGTGTGGCCCGCCGCGTCCTCCTCCCTCGCGACCCAGACCCTGCGTGGGGCGGGCAGGGGCCCGGCCGGAGCCGCTCCTGCGCCCGGCGCCGCGGGGGCGTCAATGGAAGGACAATGCACCCGGGGCTCCCGCGCCGCCCGCACTCGGGCAGCCCCAGACGTGCGGCGAGAGTCGCCCCTGGCCGGGACCCGTTTTGGCACCGGGCCGACCTTTCCAGTCCGGTGCCCAAAAGTTGTCCCCTCCAGCTCGTCCGTTTGCAAAGTCTGTTGCTGCGTCCCCTGTGCCTGCTCCGGCTGCCCCCTATATGGTGGCCGTGTTTCCCACGGGGTGGGTTTCGTTGGATCAGCAATAGATGGCCCCTGAAATAAAGGCTCTGTTCTGAGATCAGGCAAGGTTAACTCGTCTTGTGTCGTTTGAAGAAATGTAAACATCTTCCTGGAGGCTCTCTGCATCTTGGGAGTCTTAGAGTTAGGTGCCTCTCCTCTAAGAGAAAGATGGCTTTTTTTTTTTTTTAATAGACAAAAGTGTATGCCATTAATTTAGGCAGAGCAGTGGACTTAAAGTTGAAAGATACCTATCCCATGAAAGAGGTACAGTTTTATTGCTCAGTGTGAAATGAAAATTTCAATTTTGGTTCCCTTTTCAATTTTGATAGATGGAGCAGCAGAGCAGACCAGCCACATCAGCAAGTGCGCTGTAAAAGAATTCAAACAAAATCATGTTTTAGAAAAGTAGTTTTGCTAGACCTGGAATATTTATTAATGGGAATTGAGTTACTCTGCAAAGCCAGTAACATAAGAGCAAGGAAACAAAGACCTGACTGACATTGAGGATGTAACCACCCTCCCTCCTCAGCTTTCTTTTAGCCTTCGGTGGTTTGCTGGTAGCTGGGTTTTTGTTTTGTTTTGTATTAGGGGCTGGAAAAGGAACAGATAAATCCTTAGTTCTGTTGTGAAGAAGCAGTTACTCTGAAGATAACAGGATCTTTACTTTTAAACAAATCAGCAGTATCTCCCACCCCACCCGCAAGAAAAAACCCAAAACACATTTACTTGAGCTAATAAATCACGATATAAAGATAAACAGATTCAGAATAAGGGAGCCTAGGAAAGATGTGTACAAGCATCACTGGGTGGGTTTCGAGGGGTAGAGCCTGGGAGATCAGGCAGTCCTGGGAAGGATAGAGCTGAAGAGAGCATGTAATTAACAGGCAGCCCTTTCTTCTCTTATCATGTTGCCCCATGTGAGTATTCACCTCCCAAATGCTTTGAAACTATTAGGGAAATAAATTGTTGATAAAACCTACCATTTTATCCTGTCTTTCCTCCTCCTTTTTTTCCTTATCTGCTACTAATATTCTCCATCTTCATCTCTCTTCTAAATCTGTAATGGTGTCCCATTAATAAAAGGACAAGAAAGGGCTAGGCTTTTTTTTTTTTTTTTTTTTTAAGGCATTCCTCATCTTAGCTACTATATTTCGTTGAGCTTTATTTGTACTTTGAGCATGTAGGTGGATTTTTCTTAGGAGTTTCATAATTGAGATATTTGAAGTAGAGAGAGTTGAAGGGAATTTAATAGCAAAGTGCACATTCTTTCTTTGTGTAGTATAATGTGAAAGCTTTATCACTGAAGGAAACTGGAGTGTTTTTGTTCACAATAAGTTGTCTGTTTCCCACTTGACCTAAGGAAAAGCTATCTACCCAACTTACATTTCATATTAGTTTGTTAGTAAAATGGTAACATTTTAGACTGCAAAACTTGTAAGCATATTAGTTGGTTAATGTTAGGCTGCCATTGACTTTATCTTCATAAGGAGACAGGTGATAGGAGACAGTTCTCAATGCATCTTTACCTTCTTTCACAAAGGAGAGAGATTTTGGCCCCAGAGTTTTTTGTCCTACCCCTCATCTCTCCCCCAGACTCTGGAAGTATGTCTGCTTAAAAGCCACAGCAGTGCACAAAAAGACAAAGATTTCAGAAATACTTGCTGGAGACATTATCCATTGCAGGTTGAGGGAAAATATTTGTAGCAGGGTCTGGAGGAAAGAAATGAAGTTTTCAGTAGTAATATCTCTCTAAGGTTAGGAATACATATCTGAAGAGTAACAGCTATTCACTGGCTAGGTAAGAGTTTTAACTATTGTATCAAATATGAATTTTCTCTTTGCTTTCTAATTCATCATGTAAGAACTATAGACAATTTGGTGGATATAAAGAATACTTTGCAAAGGAAGTTTGAGATGAGTATAACTGGACCAGGGGGTTTAAAAAAGTAAATTCTGGTTCTTGGATTTTATCTCACTGAAATAATTCTGTAGTCAAAGCATACAGACCATACAACCATGTTAGGGGGAAGAAGCAGAGCCTTGATATTTTTTCATGAGTAGATTTTAATTGGAAAGGGAAGCCTGGTTGGAATTCCAGCTTCTTTTTTTAAGTCATCTTCTATCTTTTAACTTAGTTTTATTTTCAAGTTAATTTTGAAAATCTTCTGTTTTCTTTAGTCTTAGTAATTTGTAAATTGGACTGAATTTTGATGCCTACCATTCACTTAAATTTTGAACATAATATCTGTTTTGTTTTTTTAAGCCTTATCAGTCAACACTCTGAAGGATTAGATTATTTATTATAATTAGTAGATGATTAGATGGGCTTTAAAAATTAGAGAGGTGAAGTAGGGAAGGTAAGAAAAGAGATATATGTACTTTGAGATTAATAGAAGTTTAAGACCTATGAATTAAATATGAAGCTATATAAAGTTCCTTCTGGTAACTAAGAGGTAATATTCTGAGAATGAATTTATTCTGTAAACAAGATATGAGAAACAAAAGACCAAACATCATTTGTTCTTTAGGAATCGTAACACTCGAGCAGTGAATATACTCTGCATATTTTGTCTAAAAGTAATTTCCTAGAGAGAAGAAACAGTTGTTTAGAGGTAGTCATTGTTAATCCTTGCAATGTATTCTTGGGAAGAGGAGTCAGTCTGAAAGACAAAGAGTATCCCTTTTCTTCCCAACCTAGCCACTGTGTAGTCCAGCATTTACTTTGAGACAAACCTTTAGATGTATTTCTGAATTGGAAATATGTAACCTGCATTTATACATTTCCAAGAATTTTAAATTAAACAGAGAATGATGAAATGGATACTTTTCTATAAAGAAAATGTTAGAATAGTTACTCATCATAATCTTTTGTTTCGGGGCCCTCTTGACAAGTCCTTAGTGTCTACTTTTCTCATTGTTTCTTCTGGAATTCAGCCTGCTTTCCTCATTTCAGTTGCTACCTCCTGCTTTCCCAGCTGAATTATTTGAGCATGACTTTGTAACCAGCTTAGGAAGACAGTCTTCCGAAGTTACATCTCCCCCCATTATTGCTGTCCTTTTGGACAAATACTCAGCTGATTTTATTTTAAGGGCTTTTGCTTTTTATCACCAGAAGAGTGATATATAACAGTTGGGGATATCGGAGTCCTGGTGTTATAATTCATAAAAATGGAAATGTGTAAACTTAAAAGTATCTAGGCCTTTTTGTTTTCTGATGGAATGTTAACCAAGTGACTTAACCAATTGTGTCCCATCATCCTACATATAGGACTCCTATAGACTTAAATTGGGCAATAAATATAGCACCGATGGTCACTTTGAAACATTATGTCCTTGAAATATTTGCAGAATTGAAAACTTGGAAGTTAATGGGTTAATCTGAAGTCATTTTCCAAATGTTTTGTATTGTTCTATGAAGAAGTGAATTGCCTCTTCTTGCACAGATAATGCATGAAGAGTTGTTGCCATAGCATTCACACTGTGCTGGCCCCTAATCCCTGAAGTTGTTCACTATACTTATGTTCACCCAGTAGGTCTCATTCAGTTGAAATACTGTATGGTCTTACAGTAAAACATATGATAGTATCAGCAAGAATGCCAAAAACACTAGTTCATCCTTAATGACTTGCTGTATTTTGGCAGAATTTCTTTAGGTCCAGATTCTTGTTGATGCCCTGCAGCTCTGGAGCTTTACCATAGAGCTTTTCCGCAGATGATCTTCCCTTAGGAAAAATGACACAGTCACATGAGCCTGGAAAAGCAGATATTATGTTACAGAAGAGTGATTGGGGATATATACTAAAAGTTTCTCAAAATGTGTGTAACATTTGATTGAGTTTTAGGGGATTTGATTTTTTTTTTTTTTTTTTTTTCAGTGTTGAAAAGTCAGTTTTTGGGTCCAGCACTGTGGCGTAGCAGGTAAAGCCTCCACCTGCATCCCATATGGGTGCCAGTTCAAGTCCTGGCTGCTCCACTTCCGATCCAGCTCTCTGCTATGGCCTGGGAAAACAGTGGAAGGTGGCCCAAGTCCTTGGGCCCCTGCACCCACGTGGGAGACCTGGAAGAAGCTCCTGGCT